GCCCTTTTAAAAGCGCCTGAAGACAGAAAAAATGTCTCGGTCTTTTATTTAACTATTCTGACATTCAGTTTATCAATAACGACACAGATAATTAGAGTGTTATGTAAATTCTTCGCTTAGCATGCTTCCCAAAATCACGCCAATCCTGAGCTATTTTCCTCGATTTCAAAGGCGCCTGAGCCCCCGAAAAATGCCTGGATTTGACTTGTAGCAATCCTGTCACCCAGTTGACGCCAACCGGCAGAGATCATGGAGATTTTTCGAATTTGGGGATGCAAATTTAAAAAAAAATGAATGGTCAGTTTGTCGAGATATCGCTTGGGTTTTTGGCTGTGGATACCTCCGCGCAGACAATACTCTCGGGCGTACAGTTCAAGAAGTACGGGAATTTCTTTACCGAAAAATTGAAAATTAATTGAACTAAAAATTTTAACTTTTCACACTTGGCTACAGTCCAAAAATTCGGATTTTTGTTCTATTTTGGTATTGTGAGAGGTGATGATTTGGGAGATTGATCGGATTCGTCACTTTTTTGGCTGCATATGCCTTAGAAAATTGGCATTTTCCGGAGCAATAGGCATTCCTTTTCCAAGGCATGGACTAGCTGAAAACCGCATTGAATTTCTTTTTATTTTCAGTAAACGGGCCCTTTAAAACTATAAAATCCACTTTCGAACCTAAGCATTGTTTTGAAAAATCGGGTGACCACTTTTTTCATTCGTCGCCAATCTGGCATCTGGCCAAAATCGTCTAAGATGATGTTTTCTTGTTGTTTTTCGTTCGAGCCCTCTTTCTGGCAGCCGGTACGCATAATAATCGGGAAAAATTATGTTTCTGACAATTTCTGGCGGTCCCGAGGCGCTTTTCCAAATGCTTGGCACCTTGCCAAACCTCTAAAAGTCGGTTTTCTTCGAGCTATTTTGTAATTTTTCCGGGGTGAATTTGCCTTCTGGCACCCAGTCAGCGAAATCACGCAGAAAATGTATCTTTCTGGCAATTCCTGGGGGCCCCGGCGCGCTTCAGAAACCTTTGGCACACTGCCAAACCTTCAAAAAATGGAGGGTTTTAGGCGTTTTTTTGTACATTTTTCGGGTGAACCCCCGCTTCTGGCGGCGGTTGGACAGAACGATCGGTTTTTGTGGCGCGCCCCCTGGCCGTATGCCTGCGTGTGTGTTCCATCGAGGAAGAAGGGAGGAGGAGGGGAAGAAGACTAGAGGAAGGGGGCAGGTGGTGACCTTTGCCGTCCATTCCCTCTCTCTCTCTCTCTCTCTCTCTCTCTCTCTCTCTCTCTTCTGTCTGTCTGTCGGTCAGTTCGTCTGTCTGTCTGTCTCTCGCCCTCCTCTCTCTCTGTTTTGTGGCCGGGGGGCAATCAATGATCTTGCAAGAGGGGGAGAGGGAGCACGAGAACACCGGAGAGGGCAGAGACACAGAGACACTAACCGATAGACTGACTGGTAGACAGAAGGGAGAAAGAGAGAGAAAGAGAGTCTCTCTCTCCCCTCCCCGGTCCACACGCACCACACGCATCCCCCACCACAAGCCCCCCTCCGCGCTATGACCCCTCTCTGTCCCTCCCCCTTCCGCACACTATCAGATATATTTAAAAATTGTTGTTGTTTTATTGCATACTGACAACCGTGGCTGCTACTGATGCTTTTGATTTTTTGAAAAATTCGATTTTTGAGGAGTGAGCCTCGAATTTTGGCTTTTCAGGCCAGAAATTTCCATTTATGGATGTGTTTGCACGCTTATCTGAGCATAATTGGCTAAACTGGCAACTATTTGGCTCCAATTCCACAAAGAATCCCTGCTAGCGACTCGTTTTTTGGAAAAATTCGCTTTTTGACGATTGAGTCCGGCCAAGTCGGGAATTTTTAGATTCCAAGCATGAAATTTCCATTTTTCGCCGTTTTTACGCGCGTCATTGGCTGAACTGAAAAACAATTTTGCTTGGATTCCACAAAGAATCTCTGCTAGCTACTCGTTTTAGGGAAAAACTCGATTTTTGGGATTGAGTCGAGACATTTGAGCTCTCATGCCAGAAATTTCATTTTTGCCATTTTTACGCGATAACTAGGCGTCATTGGCTAATCTGACACGCAAAACCGCTAGATCAACTGACATCTCCACGAAAAACGTTGAGTTCGCAAAGAATCCCAGCTAGCATGCCGAACCCCCCCCCCCCAGGGAACGTTGAGGAGCTCGAAAGTCCATCGCGCCAAAATTTTCGTGTATTTTTTTGGTCCACATAAATTATCTAAAATTTTCTTAACTGATTTTCCGTTCCGCAAAGACTCTCTGCTGGCTTGCCTTTTAAAAAGCGTCAAATCCGTTCAGAGATCATCACTTTAAAGGTTATTTGGTAGATTCCCCAAGAGTCTCTGCCAGCTTGCCCGAAAAAAGGCAAAAATGTCTTAAATTTCTGCACCGCCTGCCCGTTTGCCGATTCCCAGTTCCTCATTGTTCTCTGCTAACTTCCCGGTCCCAAAAAACCAGACTCAATCCTTATTCGATTACGCCATGAAATGGTAGCAATTTCTCGCTGATTTTGCCATTTTTGCGGCCAGAGTTGCGCACCAAATTTGGGTGCCATTTTTTGGCGGCGTTTTGGAGGTCCGGGGGGCTATTTGTAGTCTGTAGCCTGGGGAAGAGGGCCGGGAAGGGGATCTGGGAGGGAAGATGGACAGCCCCCTCTCTCTCTCTCTCTCTTTCTCTCTTTCTCTCTACTTTTCGATACCCCAGTAGTAGTCAGCATTCAACCATTTGCACATCCACAAATTTACGTTTAAAACTTCAATTTTGAATTGATTTTTGAGCCTCTAAAACTTAATTTTGTTTGCGGACAATTCTGCAAATGACCTCTGCTCGTTTGCCCGGCCATTGGACTCTCTTGATCCAATTTCCCCAAGGCCATATGCTAGCTGCCTAGCAACGCGCAAGATGGTCACCTCGATTTTTGTGAAAATTTATTCCGTCAGTTGGCATGCCTCGCAGAGTTTTTGGCTCTCGGCCAATTGGCGCATTTTGACGGTTTTGGGTCTGAAATTTTCCTCAAATCGCCTCTGCTTGCCTTCCCATTGGGCTTTGGTTATCTAGCAGCCATTTTAGCCATTCCTCAAATGGCCCCTGCTAGCCTGCCCGGATTTTGGCAGTTAGCCAAAAAGGAGTTGATCACTGCTGGTTTGCCTTTTTTTGGTGGATCGAGCTTTTCTTTTGCCGGCAGGCCAAAAAAGCCAAAAAATACTATAATTTCATAGAAAAAGTCTTCACAGCCCTTTTAAGACGCTCAATAATCTATCTGCCTCCCAATTGACTTGTCACCACCTTTAAAGATTTGATTGAAGCTTGTTTTCTATAAAAAAATAACGTAGAAAACCGGACACCAGAAATAACCCTTTTTTGCAGATGTGCGCCAGTTGTTCGACGAGTAGACCGAATTGAAAGAAGCAGAACACGAACAAGAAGAACAACAACTACAACAACCGCACATCCCACTGTAGAACAACAACAACACCAACGAGTACGCCAAACAACTATGGACGGAGACGATGACTATATGCCCCAGGTAAAAATCGCCTTTTTGATCCCGTTTTGGCCCTGTATTTTCGGCATACTAAATTTTTAAAGTACAAAATTTAAATATTCTAATAGAGCAGTTAAAGGGCCACAAAATAATAAAAAATCCTAGTAAATTATAGTTTCTAAGTGTATCTGTGATTTTTGCAAATTATAATTTTTTGGCCAAAATTGGAATTTTAAATCGACCATAAATGTGGTATATTAAGCTCAATTTTAACGATCTAAGATTGTAAAAAGATCTACTTTTGAAGGGCTTTCGAATGGTGTACTTTACATTTTATGATATTAATGCATTAAGGAGATTTGGCGAATTTTCAGAATTTTTCGACTTGAAATAATTTTTGGCTTATAACGATTTAGAAATTGATTTTCACATTTTAAAATAATTTTTATTTAATAGAACAGCGCAAGGGCTGCAAATTGATATAGAAAAAAAATAATTTTTGATGTTTCCAAAATTTTATAGGATTTTTACAAACATTGAAAATCTCGAAAATTGAGGTTTTTCACGTGACCCTGTTGCAGATGTCGCAGCTGGGCGGCGACTACGGGAATCCGTATGGCCATCATCCCGGCGGATATGGACCTCCTCCACCAGGATACGGTGGCCAAGAACATCAAATGATGCATCAACAAATGGGACAACTACAGCCGATGCCACATCCTATGCAACAGCAACCCCCACAGGTACCGTAATCGGGAAAAATCAGCATTTATGCAGTGTCGGCATTTTTAAGATACTTTCTGGCTGACAGTTAAGCGTTTCCGACAATAAAATAGGCATTTTGTAAAAAATTCGGATTTTTGTGAAATTCGATAATTTTCAAAAAGCCGCCATTTTCGAAAATCCGGCATTTTTGCCTCGTCGGTGTTTTTCATGACTTTTGGCTGACAGTTGGCCGTTTTCGAGCAAACAATTGATATTTTTCCTAGAAATCGACTTTTTTAAGTCATCGAACATCGAAAAATCTGAATTTTCGAGTTTTCGGTATTTTTTTCGAAAGTTCGATATTTTCGGAAATTTCGGCATTTTTAGAGTATTATCTGTTTGAAAGCTAGTCGTTGCCATCAAAAAACAATGGAAATTTTACAGGCTCCGCCCCCAAAGCAGACGAAACGCGGCAAGAAAAAGGAGACGGCCGCCGCGGTAGCTGCACAACAACAGCAACAAGTACAGCAAGTACAACAGGCAACACCCGGGGATCCAATGGGGGCCATGGCCGCGATGAGCCACAATCCGATGGGAGGAGGTCCTGGAGGAGGAGGAGGAGGAAGAGTTGGAGCTGTTGCTCAACAACTCCAACAAGCTGGACCCTCGCAATGGCCACAACAACAACAACAGCAAGCAGTACAGCAACAGCAACAAGGAGGATGGTCAGCTACACATCCGGGATACGCCGCACAACAAATGACATCTCAATATGGACAACCAAGGGGATATCCACAACAACAATATCAACCATATCAGGTGGGTAGCTGGCAGAGATTATTGAGGAATCGGCGAACTGGCTAGCAGAGATTTTTTTGCGACATATCGGGGTAGTCAACTAGCGGAAAGGATTTAGGAAAAGGGCCGACTAGCAGTGAGCATTGAGGGATTTACGGGGTGGCTAGCAGAGAACCTTGAGGAAAGTGGGGGTGGCTAGCAGAGGCTTTTTGGGAATCGATGGCTAGTAGAACCCATTTAGGCTCGAAATTACCTCTAAAAAATCCCAATTTTCCAGGCTCCACCCCAACAGCGCCCTCCCGCAGGCTACGGTATGGCCCCAGCCAACCCGTACGCAAATCCGTACGTAGGATACGGAGGGCCACAACCGGGAGTGGGATACGGTGGAATGGGACCCCCAAGGGGATATCCACCACCACAACATCTACAACAACAATATCAACAACAATATAGTGGAGATGGACATGGAGGCGGAGCTGTACAGTATCCAATACAGTATCCACAACAACAACAACCAGGGAATGTGGCCGGAGGACAGCAACAGGTGAGCGGGGATGGCCATTAATGCGCCAACTGGCAGCCAGACAATATGAAAATCGGGTTCCGCAAAGTGTGTTTGCTCGATTGCCTGAGATTTTTGGGTGATTTCAGCGAGAATTGCGTAATTTTTCCGGTTGCGTCTCTTGTCGCCTATCTCTCACTCCTCTCCCTCTCCCCCTCTCCCCCTCTCTCCCTCTCTATCTTCCTCTCGCTCTAGATTTAACTTCCATTTCAAATTCCTCCAAAACTCCTCAAAAACCCTGAAAAATCTTAAAACCCGCTTTCCAGCCTCAAATGCCGTCAAGCCAACCGCCGACCTCCAGCGATCCTCAACAACATTTTGTCGGCCATGGGCATCCAAATCCATATGCTCCAATGGCACCTCCACATCCACATCCCGCATATAGTGCTCAGGTAAGCGAGAGAGAGAGAGAGAGAGAGAGAGCAAGCGGGAGAGAGGGAGAGAGTGAGAGAGAGAGAGAGAGCGAGAGAGAAATCAGAGAGAGATAGAATCGGAGAGAGAGGGTGGGAGCAAGAGAGAGAGAGAGAGAGAGAGAGAGGTATAGAGAGAGAGAGGGGGAGAGATAGAGAGAGAGAGAGAGAGAGAGAGAGCGAGAGAGAGAGAGAGAATGGCAAATTAACCAAAACCTGCGCCTCCAGATGATGCAACAGGCGCAAATGGAGATGGGTCAACTACAGCAACGACTTCATACCCTCTATCAACAGCCACGGACACCAATGATTGAACAAGAAATACATTCCTACGAAAAGAGGGCACAATATCTGCAGGTAACGGAGCATTCAGAATTACCTTGCGTAACCGGATAAACCCGTATAATCCTCGTAATCGAATATTCGAAATTTTTTTTGACCAGATTTTTTCAGAGCCAACTGCACGCTGCCGTCCCACCCCAAACAGCCCCCAATCCCTATATGCAAGGGCCACCAGGGGGAGGAGGAGGAGGACCACAACAAGGAGGAGGAGGACAACAACCGGGAATGGGAGGACAACAACAACATGGAGGAGGACAGAGACCCGTTGAAGTTTCGCAGAGCGGAAATGGACCCATACAGGTATGTGGAGAAGCCAATCCATCAATCCCAGTCCTCAGAAAAGGGCCAGCTAGCAGAGGTCATTTGGGGAATCCGTAGACTGGATGGCAGATAAATGGAAAAAACCGTAGGCCGGCTAGCAAAAAACATATGGGAAGATTTTGGTTTCAACTGATGAAAAAAGCCAGGACCAGTACCAATCGCTTTAAAAAATTCGAATAAGGCAGGCTAGCAGAGGTCATTTGGGGACTAGGTAAAACGGCAGTCAGATTGATGGAATTTGGGAAAGCAGGCTAGCAGAGACTTTTTGGGAAACTTTCTAGCCCGGCAAACGACTCAAAAGACCCATTTGGCTGACCATCGGTCTGAAACATTCGGGCGAGGCAGGCTAGCAGAGAGCATTTGGGGAATGGATATACTGCCTGATAGTTAGTTGAAACACAAAAACTAGAAGGCTAGCAAAGACACTTTGCGGAATTTCAGGTGAACATCAAGCCGGATGCGCCAGGACGGACGCTGATCTCTGTCTATCATCACAATTACCCGGAAGGCCAACCCCCACCGGGTGGAGCATTCGGATCTCCAAAAGACTCTGTCCCTCCCGAACCTGTCCCCTCTACAAGAACAACACCACCACAAATACCACAACATATCAATGGACATTCATATCAACAACAACAGGTACGTCATGTATTCCACAAATGGTCTTTTCTAGCTTAAAAACGGTTAGAATCTCTAAAATGACTGCCAGTTGAACTAAAAAACGCTACATAAGAAACCGTGCTAGCTCGCCTCTTGAATTAACTGGCGTAATCGGTTTTGTGACATCGGGAAATACGACAGTTTTTCGGAATTTTTATTGTGGTTGCGAACCTGGAACCTGCTGGAATCTGCAAACTGGCTGCCAGTTAGCCTAAAAATCTCTAAGAAACTCTGCTAGCTCGCCTCTTGAATTATCTGGCGTAATCGATTGGCTTGCGAGCTGAAAATCGCCATTTTTCGGATTTTTTTTTTGCGTAGTCGGCTAGCAGGGATATTTAAGGAATTGTGATGCTTGAAAGCGGTAAGCTAGCAGAGAAAACTTGCGGAATAGTTCAAATTTGTAAATTTTTTTATCTAGAAAATTCCAATTTTTGATTTTTAAATCGCGTAAAAATCCAAAATATTGCATTTTCCAGGTGCCTCCCCACCACCACCCAGCGCCATCTCAACCCCCGGCCCCACTGCCCCATCAGAATGCCTATTCTGTGCCCCCATCTACCGTATCCCACCCCACTCCACCCCCTCCTTCCGCTTCTTCTTCTCAACAAATGATGGCCCCTCCACCAATTATCGTCAAAACGGAACCCCCTCCACAACAACAACAAATTCCGGTCAATCAGGTGAGTGTCACTCTTCCTTTAAAATGGAGGGCCAGCTAGCAGTGATCATTGTGGAATGTTAAAGGGAGCGTGACAGCCAGAAATTTTTCGAGGCCGCGGCTGCTGGCAGATCTTTAGGATTTTAAAGGGCACAGCATTCCGCCCTTTACCAGTTGTGTTCGTTTGACCGGGACAGGATGGCAGGCATACAGGGGGAAGGGAGAATCTGCGCTCTGTCCCCCGCCCCCTGTTCTCTTCCCTAGTGGCCTATAGCCTAGTCTCACTATTTCGCCGCCTATTCCGCGCCCCACCCCTCCCCCTGTGTGTCTGCACCCCCGCCGTCTGGCGCACTATCCGCCAGCCTACTCACGAACACCGCGGAATCATGTGAAGGGAGGGTGACAGATAGCGGTTTTCTGGAATCCGGGCACCCAGCAAAGAATCTTTAGGGCTTCTAAAGGGACCTGGACGCCAATTTTTCCCAAATTTCCTCGGCTCGCTGGCCCTTTTTGAAAGTACCCGTACCTTCTATTGCCTTTTTCAGACGATAAAAACCGAGCCCCAGCACGACCCGGATGCGACACCCCCAATGAGAAATGGAATGGGAGAAGAGGAGAGAGAAGAGAGAGACCAGAGAGAAGAGAGAAAGGGTGAACCAGCAGAGACAATTGGGGAACAACCGGCTGAAGAGGAGGAAGAGGAGACCGAAGATCCATTTGATAAGCCCCCTCGTGCTCCCCATCCACAATCACCGCCAAGGGAAGAGGAGGAAGAGGAGCAGCAACTTCAACAGGTACGGGCAGATCGGACTTTTAACTCAAAAATCGCAAATGGGCACTGCTAACTTGCCTAGGGTTGAATTTGTGGAGATTGGATGGCAGTTAAGGGATTCATGCCCAAAAATTTTTTTTTAAATGTTCACTCGCGTTTTTCCGGGAATCTAGGTGGCAGATCGGACTTTTCGAGAAAAAAATCGTAAAATGCTCTCTGATAGCCTGCCTAGTTTGAATTTGTGCAGGCCGGGTGACAGTCAGAAATTTCCCGCAAAGAATCCCTGCCAGTTGGCCTTCTTAAAAATTTTTTGGGCTTTTAGAGCTCGATTTCTGACGAGCAGCCGAAGCCTTCGCCCTCATCAACAACTGCCGTCTGTCCAGAGGAACCAGAAAGAATCCGGGAAAATGGCAATCATACGGTACGTATATTCCGCAAATTATCACTGCTAGCCTGCCTCCCTTGCTTCAGAATTACCTCGCGTAATCAAATATTTTTTCTGTCGCTCTTCCTTTAAATCCACGGCTGTTTCCGCAAATTCCTCTGCTAGTATGCTCCTTGCCATACAGCTCAAATAATGGAGCATTTTCAGGAAGAAAGGGACGCCATTCCGGAAGAAATTCCGATCAAGACGGAAGCGCCAAAAATTGAGGAGCAAGAAGAGCCGGAAAAGGAGCCTGAACGTCCCGAGGAAGCTCAAGAAGCTCAAGACGGTCAAGCTGAAGCCGCCGAAGAGGCAGAGGAACCGGAAAAAGAAGAGCAACCGGAAGAAACGGCAATTCCGGAACCAGAAACCCTGAAAGAACCGAGCCCGGAACCTGAAGCCGAAGCCGAAATGCCTGAAGCGGAAGTGAAAGAAGAGGAGGAAATCCCTGCTTCTTCCGGAATTCCGGAACCGGAAGAACCGGAAAAACAAGTGGAAGTAGAAACGGTCGAAGTAAAGCAAGAGGTAAGCATTTCTAAAGTGATTAAGAAGCAAAATCCACAAAATTAGGTTAATTTTAACAATTTTTGTATTCAACAGGATCTGCTTTTTAAGGGCTTTCGAATGGCGTATTTCACGTTTTTCTACGTTGACGTACTGAGGAGTTACGGGGCAATCCAGAAACCGATTACGCCATGTAAATCCATTTTTGTTTTTAGGAGCCGCAGGCCGCTGAGGAGGCGGAAAAGGAAGCCACTCCCGCTCCAGCGATTCCCGAAATTGAGGAAGAGCTCGTGAAGGAGGAGCCGGAAGCCGAAGCAGTTCCGGAGACCGTTCCGGAAGTTCCGGAAGTCGAACAGACTGAGGTCGAGGAGAAGCCGCCTGCTGCTGAAAGGGCCGAGGCCATCGAGGAGGCCATAGAGGATGAGGAGGAGGTCCGTTTGCACTGTCACTGCCCCTTTAAAGTCTCAGGCTCCGCAAATGATCCCTGCTAGCCTGCCCCGGATTTGTAAGCGTCTGTTTAAAGGGGCTGGGAAGGCAAAATCGGTCGTCAAATCGCAAAGTTTTATGGAGTTTTCTAGCTGTCACCATCCCTTTAGAGGGTCAAATAATCTTTGCTAGGCTGCCTGATTTCTCCAAGTGACTTTGCTCGCTTGCCTTACTCGATTTCTAGCTGTCCCACCACCTTTAAAGTGATTACAACGATTTTTAAAGGAGCATAGAAGACAAAAAATTTCGAAAGTTAGTGGAGTTTCAAACTGTCACACCCCCTTTAAAACCGCGGGTTTCAGGCGACCTCCGAACCGACGGCCGCTGAAGAGGATGAAGTGGAAGATGAAGCGGAAGAAGCGGTAGATGATGAGGAAGAAGAGCCAGAAGAACAACTCCCAAAGCCCAAGACCAAAAACACTCCCAAAATCAAGCTGGGCAGCCAGAAAAAGGCCTCCACCTCCGCGGCGTCAACTTCAAGGAGTTCAGCGAAAAAGAAGAAGGAGCCGGTTTATGTGGACGATTGGGATGATGATGATGAACCATACGAGACAAGGTGAGTGGAATTTACAAAATTGAAAAATCAATTAAAATTTTTGAAAAATTTTGTATTTTTAATCTACAAGTTTATTTTCTGTTCGTTTTTTGCCAGAACATTTTTTATATTATCAAGTTGGATGCCAGTTAGCCTGATTTCCCTCAAAAATCCCCGCTAGCCTGCCTGGAAATACCTGTCGTAATTGGTTATTCGAGGCTTCCAAAAAGATGAGTTTACAAGAGATTATCGATTTTTTTGGTGGATTTTTTTGGAGATATTTTTTTATCGTGAAATTGGATGCCAGTTTGCCCAAGTTTTTCTAAAAATCCCCGCCAGCACGGCCGGAAATACCTAGCGTAATCATTTAGCCCACAAATTTTCGAAAAATCCCGATTTTTTTTGGATTTTTTTCCAAATTTGGCTACCCGGGACTCCAAATGACGCCTTGTCCGTCTCAGGCTTTAGAATTTCCGGTGCAGGTGTACGGTAGAGTGGTGGGGCCAAATCCGGGGGTGGGCCCTCTAATCTGGGCCCTCTTCCCCTCGAAAAGTGCTCATATTTGGGGTGCAGAATCTCCCTTCGTCTCTCTAACTGTATGTTGTCTCTCTCTGGCACACACTCTCTCGCCTCTCCCTCCCCATCTAATTCCCCCTTCCCAAAATCGTTCCAAAAGTAGCGAGTTGTCTTTGCTTGTTCCCGGGGGGACCGTTTTGGAGGTCTTTCTCCCCTTTCGCTCTCTCTCTCTCTCTCGCTCGCCCCTTTTTGAGGGGATGAGCCCCGGAGAGGGCCCAATTGTCGCCTCCCACAACTCCAAATTTCGTCAATTCTTGAAACTCGGCTACCACAATTAAGTCTATTTTTATAAATTCGGTAAATGCTTCTCATCGACGATCGCCATGAACGTATCAGGCATGGTTTTTTGGATTTATGACGTTTTCTAAACCGGTTTTTTTGCAAATTTTGCGGCGCCAATCCTTTTTCTGGCATTTAATAAACACTGCTAGTTTGGCAAAAAGAATTTTTATTACAAATATTTTAAATTTTATTGAACGTTAAATAGGTACTGGTATGCAAATTAGCGACATTCCAAGTTTTTTTTGAATTTTTTTAGTTTTTCTACGCCGATTTTTGCAAGTTTCTGTGTTCCAATCCCATTCCTGGCATCCAATAAAGTAGAGTCTAATAGTATCTAGTTTGCCCGAAAAAATTTTGAGTTGAGAAACAAATTTTTTGATGTAATTCCCCCAAAACGCAAAAAATTTTTTTGCAAATTTCCAAACGCCGATCCCTTTTCTGGCGCCCAATAAACACTGCTAGATTGCCCAGGGAAACCTAAAAATTGTCAAAAAAATTTTTACAAACAAAAATACTGTATTTTGAAAAAATTCAAAAAACGTGGATTTTGATTTATTTGAAGCGCCAAGAAGAAGCGATTTCAAAACGTTGAAAATAAAAAGAATTAAAAAACTAAGATTGAAAAGTTACAAAAGCAAACAATTTTCAAAAATTAAAAAAAACTATTGTAAATTTTAGCGCAAAGAAGAAGCGAGCGGCAACGTCGGCGAAGAAAAAGGCGGCCAAAAAGCAGCAGGCATTAATAGATTATGGAGAAGAATATGGGGATGAAGATGGAATACCCCCCGAATTATTGATGGATGATAAGAGAAGATCGGGAAGGAGACAGACAACCACTACAAAGACATACACTGAACCATCCATCCACGAATTCGACGAGTTCATCATTCCTGGTGGGTTTTTGGCTGTTTTTGTGTGTCACGGCGCCTTTAAAACACGCGAAAATCCCGATTTTCTGACGTTTCTAGCTGTCATACACCCTTTAAAATCCCGAAAAATCTCGGATTTTCTCGAAATTTCTAGCTGATACCCATCTGCAAAATCCCGCCAAAATTGCCGCTTTTTCGCCAGATTTCGAGCTGTCGCACCACCTTTAAAACCCAAAAAATTCCGGTTTTTCCTAATTTCCAGCTGTCACCGTCCCTTTAAAATAGGCTAAAAAGCCACAATTTTGGGGCCCGTTTAGCGGCCAGACTACCTTGAAAATGCCACAAAAATTCAATTTTCTCAAAAAAACAATAAGATGCCTGGTTTGCAGACAGCGAAGGGGGTACACCAACTGGAGATGAGGATGATGAAGATCTTCCACCTGCTGTACATATGCCGGCCGTTGTCGAGAAGGTTGGTATCTTACTGTCTCTCGCTCTCTCCCACTCTCCTCTCTCCTGCTCTCCCCCTCTCGCTCTCACTCTCTCTCTCGCTCTCACTCCCACTCTCCTCTCTCCCTCTCTCTCTTCTCACTCTCCGTCTCTCGCTCTCTCTCTCTCTCTCTCTCTCTCTCTCTCTCTCTGCCGCTCTCTATTTCCTTTTCCTGGCGTAATCGATTACGATGTCTGTCCAACCGGCAAGCGTCGCGTGCGCGTCGCGTGTAGCTACCCCGGCAGATCCATAGCCATGCCTTGACAACCCCTTTAAACCCCCTCTTCCAGATCCTTGCCATGCGCAGTGAGGGTGGTGAGGAAAGCGAAGAGGAATTCTACGTCAAATGGAAGGGCCGAGCCCACATGCACTGCGAGTGGAAGACTGCCGTACGTTTTTACGCTAAGATTTTTAGTGTTCACCAATTCAACAAAAATTTACTGAAAATAGCTAAACTGGCAGGTAGGCTAGCAAAAAACGTCTGTGGAATTTTTTTTGGGCCATTCATTTTCGACAAAATTTTGATTTTTTTAATTTTTTGAAAATTTCTAGTTTTGTAATCGATTAAGGTCGAGACTCAAGCTCTAATTTTAAAAGTTGTAGATTTGGGATAGAATTCTGTCTATCTATTTTTCTATCGTCTTTTTCCTAAAAAACCGGGCCGTCATCCTTAGCTCAATCAGTAGAGCGTCGGTCTCTCAATCTGAGGGTCAAGGGTTCGAGTCTCTTCCTGGTTAAATCTTTTGCTTTTTGGCCAAGAATGACTTTATAACATCCCATAATTGTTTGAATTACAGGCACAACTGGAAGAAATCGACAAACGAGTCTCGGCCAAATTGAAGCGATACAAACAGAAGAGGGCGGCAGGAATCGAGGATGAAGAATTGAATGAGGATTATCTGGTTGTGGAGAGGGTATTGGCTCTGGATACACAGGATGATGGGGATGAATATGCGCTTGTCAAGTGGAAGAGTCTACCGTATGATGAGGTGAGGAAATGGGTTTTTTAAGTTTTTTTGGGGTCGACTTTGGACCTTTAAACCTTCAGTTCTAAGCTTGTATTATTATTTTAAATATATCGAAAATTATCTGGTAGTCAGTTTACAATATTCTGGACATGAAAACCAAAAAGTAAAAAGTCGGCCGCGCCCGGGAGTCGAACCCGGGTCATTCGCCTGATGCCAAAATGCGTTTAAATCGGTTTATTTCACGCCTAAATTCAATTTAAAGTTGGGAAAATGGTAATTGCTAGCCAGTTTATCGCATTTGAATGCGAAATCGCAAAACGCAATAACCTTTGCCGCGGCGGGGAGTCGAACCCGGGCCATTCGCCTGATAAAAATTTTTTAATAACAATTTCCAAAATTTTCAGGTAACATGGGAGCCCCTATCTACCGTACCCACCGAAAAAGTGGAACAATGGGAACGATGGCAAAAGATAGACAAGGCAAAGAGTCGAGACAAAGATAGACCGGCAGTCAGCCAATGGAAGAAACTGCCGGCGGATATTGAATGGAAAGGAGGCAATCGATTGAGGGAATATCAATTCGATGGCGTCAACTGGCTGACGTATTGTTATTATCATCAACAGAATTGTATTCTGGCTGATGAAATGGGACTCGGAAAGACGGTACGTTGCGGAGATCATTGAGGAGCCTTGGGGAGGGCTAGCCGAGGTTTTTGTGGACGATTTTGAGCTAGTCCTCTAACTGGCATCTATGCTGCGAAATACAAAGCTAGACAAGCTAGCAGTGACACTTTGCAGAAATTATCGAACAAAAGTCCGATCTGCCACCCAGAACCCAAAACCTGGATTTGGCAAGCTAGCAGTGGCCATTTGTGGAAATTTTGGTTCGAATCCGCTAACTGGCATTCATTATCCACAAATGGAAAGCGGGGCAGGCTCGCAGCGACACTTTGCGGAAATTATCAAACAAAAGTCCGATCTGCCCTCCACAAATCCTTTATTTTGCAGGTGCAAACGATCACGTTCCTGTCTCGTGTCTACGAGTACGGTATCCATGGCCCATTCCTAATTGTCGTCCCCCTATCCACAATCCACAATTGGGTCCGAGAATTCGAGACGTGGACTGATATGAATGCTGTTGTCTATCATGGATCCGCTGCAGGGAGACAGGTAATGCATTACGATAGTTATTCCAGGGTAGCTAGCAAGGATTCATTGAAGTAATTGTGTTAGCTGGTATCCAGTTTAAGCCTAAAACAAAAAGCAAAAATTTGCCGCGGCGGGAAGTCGAACCCGGGTCCTCCGCGTGTGGGCCAAACGACTTACTGGACTATGCCTTTTTTAACGGTTTCCGCTCGCTCCGCTGTTTCACCATGGTCTAATATAAATCTTAAAAATATCCAAATTTTAAATAAAAGGACATTGATTAAAAATCATTAACAAAATTTAAAAAATTAATTTTTATCGGAAAATCACTATTTTAATCCGATTTTTGCAGATAATCGAGGGCCACGAGATTTACCACGAAAAGCCGACCGGCAGTGACGATAAGAACAAAGGATTGTGGCGGAAGGGAATCTGCAAACTCGACGCCCTGATTACCACCTTTGAAATGGTCGTCACAGAAGTCGAATTTCTGCGAAAAATCAACTGGAGAGTCTGTGTCATCGATGAAGCACATCGACTCAAGAATAGAAACTGCAAACTGCTCACTGGTAGGCAGATTAACGAATCATACCCCGGGAAAGCAAAAAGCAAAAAACATATGGCGCGGCCGGGGTCGAACCCGGGTGGTTCGCCTGACACTCGTTCGAGTCTAAATCAGGCCTTCAATCGTTTAAAATTATTTAAAAATTTGGAATTGATGAAGTGGCAGGCAAGTTACGGATCCCGGTGCGAAAAAACCAAAAAGCAAAAAGGGATCGACGGCGGAAGGAATCGAACCCGGGTCGTTTTCCTGACGTCAAAAAGTGTCTGAAGCATTTTTCTGACTTTAAAAAATCATTTTCTTAGCTGCAAATTGTTTGCTGGTAGCCAATTTACGGTACCCAGTAAAAAGCAAAAAAGTTTGACCACGCCGGGAATCGAACCCGGGCCTCTCGCCTGATAGCCAAATGTCTTATCCCCTGCGCCATCCATCCCCATTATTTTCAGGTGGTTTATTGTCTCTCCGTATGGAGCATCGTGTCCTCCTCACCGGTACTCCACTGCAGAATAACGTTGAGGAGCTCTTCTCCCTTCTCAATTTCCTTCATCCCGAGAAATTCGGAAGTTCCGACGAGTTTCTTCGCGAGTTTGGCGAGTGCAAGACTGACGAACAGGTGCGTATTTTGATGGCGTAATCGATTGACTGCATGCCAGAATGGCCGTATTCAAACGAAAAAGTTTTTCAAAAAGTTCTGTTTTCCATCGGATAGCATTTCATCGCGTAATCGGTTCGGATTCGAGGAAAATTCCGGACTTCGCCAGCGTAATCGATTTGCCGGGTGCCAGAAAAGAGTCTCAAGAATTTTGGATCTCCACTGGCCCTTAAAATTATCCGAAAATCGCATTTTCATGACGTAAACGGTTGAATTTTTGTGTCGTAAGCGGTTTTACCTAGAATTTCGGCGCGTAATCGAATAGATTTGATGGCGTAATCAGATCAGTATACTCCCGCAAACGGATACTTGGAATTATCACAGAAAAATGCGATAATGCGAGAATTACCGTAGCGTAATCGAATAGCTGTTTATCCCTTTTTCATGGCGTAATCAATTGTGAAAATTTTCAGGTGACGCGCCTCCAAGAGATCCTGAAGCCAATGATGCTGCGCCGTTTGAAGGAAGATGTCGAGAAATCCCTGCAGCCAAGAGAAGAAGTCATCATTGAAGTACAATTGTCTGATGCCCAGAAGAAATATTATCGCGCCATTCTCGAGAGGAACTTCACACATTTATGCAAAGGTATATTTATGCGTAAAAAAACGGGATGAATCGCGTAATCGGATAGCTTTTTCCGAGCGTAATCGATTGGCTGACCGCCAAAAGAAGGATTTATGCAAACTTTGGGCCCTCGATCGCTATAATTCCGGAATCAGGATCTTCATAGCGTAATCGGATAGATTTTCAAGCGCTTTCCTCAAGAATCTCGGCTAGCTTGCCATGGGATTTTAACTTCGTATTTTCTAATTGTTTTGTGGCAGCTTCAGGTGGTACCGCGCCCTCGCTGATGAATGTGATGATGGAATTGAGGAAATGCTGCAATCATCCATTTCTCATTCAAGGAGCCGAAGAACAGATCGTCGCTGAGGTATGGCGCTTTTTACATGTCATAATCGATTGGCTGCATGCCAGATTGGCCATGTATTGACTTTTTGCATTTTTCTGCTCTTAATTTACAACTCGATTTTTATTGCGTAATCGAATGACCATTTTCATGCCGTAATCGAGTTTTGTCGGGTTGATCTCTTTTCTTCAATTAATTTTTAGGTCCGCCTCCTGCACCCGGAAATGGATGAGGATACGGCCCAAAGAAAGGCCCTTGTTGATGCTTCGGGAAAGATGGTGCTCATCGAGAAGCTGCTCCCCAAACTCAAATCTGATGGCCATCGAGTGTTGATATTCTCTCAAATGGTCAAAGTACTCGATCTCATCGAAGAATTCGTCTCCAATCATGGGTTGGTGGCTTTTAAAAAGAGTCGGAAAGGCAAAGGGAGATTCTCGAAAATTTCGAAATTTCCGTTTTTCACGACTTTGAGGCCCTATAAAATGATAATTCGGATAATTACAGTAGTTCTCAATATATTTTCTGGTAGAGCTGAATTTTCTCTTTCGAATAGTAGATAAAACCTAGCTACATTACCTCTAATCGCCAAGAACCATGCCCCGGAAAATCAAATATTTCAAATTCGCCTCATCTTCGGGGCCTCATAAAACGAGATTCCAGTAGGGTACTGTAGCTTGCTGTATACATTTAAATAGAGCTTTTTTGGTCTTTTGAATGGCATATTAAACATGGCTACTGTACTCCTAGTCGTTCAGAAAAACCACGCTCAAAATCGGAAACTTCGAATTTCTGCAACTTTGGGGGCTCATAAACTGAGTTTCCAGTGGGCTACGGTAGTTTACAGAATGCCATTCAAAAGAGCTCATTGCCCTCTTTCAAACCATATATAATACTTAGCTACAGTACTCCCCGCGTCCAGAGGACTGGCCCGGAAAAGTGGTTTTCGAAATTCTGAAAAATCATCGATTTTTCGCCGCACGCGCTTCAAATAAGTGCCGCATTCCCCAACAATTACTGCCAGACTGCCAACTGGCACGCAGTCTTTAAAATAAAATTGCGTTTATTCAATTACGCATGGATTTTTCAGATACCTCTACGAGCGGATCGACGGAAATGTGCGTGGAGATCTCCGCCAAGCGGCCATCGATCGATTCTCAAAGAAGGATTCGGATCGTTTTGTATTCCTTTTGTGTACTCGTGCCGGTGGATTGGGAATCAATTTGACGGCCGCTGATACCGTAATCATCTTCGATTCGGATTGGAATCCACAAAATGATCTCCAAGCACAAGCGAGATGTCATCGTATTGGACAACAGAAAAGTGTCAAGGTAGGCCGGCTAGCAGAGGCTTTTTTGCGGAATTGTTTGTGGTTTTGGGTACACTGGCAGCCAATTTAATCAAATTCACAACAAAAACCGCCGAATTTCAAAATGCAAATTTTTTAGAAATTTTTGAAGGTATTTTTCGATTGGCTGCCTGGCAGTTTGCTAAAATTCGGTTTTAAAGTTTACTAAACTAGTTTTTAAATTTTTGATGGTTAGGTAGCTAAAATAGAAGTCAGTTTAACCAAATTTTACATAGAAATTTTTGCAAATAACGTTTTTGAAAATTAAACGAATTTTAGAAAACTGGCGATTGGCAGTTGGCTGGAATTTGCTCTGAAAAATTAATTTCTATGACGTTTTTAAATTGTTTTTTCTTGTTAGACGTAGTGGCAGTCAGTTAAATTAAAAAAAGACGTTTCTTAATATTTCCAGACAAATTTCAATTTTTCAGGTGTACCGGCTGATCACGGCGAACACGTACGAAAGGGAAATGTTCGACAAGGCATCCCTCAAATTGGGTCTCGACAAGGCTGTATTGCAATCGACGACTGTTATGGATAAGAAGGAACAGCTCACCAAGAAGGAGGTACGATTTTAAAGGGACCAGCAAGGCAAGAAAACGCAAAAATCAAAAAGTAAAAATAGATTTTACGGCCAATTTTTCTCGGAAATTTTGGCGCACTGTAGATGACTTACTGTAAAGTGTTTTTACTCAACTTGGAGTTCCGATTCGGGACCAAGCGCATCTTGTGCAGAATTTTTCGCTGATTCCGAATATGTTTTCCAAATTTGCTACGGACTTTTATTTAATAAATCATTTTTGGTAACGATTCGGCCGAAAAATGCCAAAAATTCAGACGCTGGCCCACTATTCCTTGTTTGGGGCTATGTGACCCAGGGGCCCTGAAGTACCCTCTGACAGCACCCTACCCAGTTGGCACCATGGTGCATTGGCAAAGTACTCGCTTGCCAAGCGCAGGGCGGCGGTTCGAACCCCCGCCCTGCATCATTTCTTTTGCTTTTTGCATAAAAATCTCACTTTTTTAGCTAAAATGCTTGTTTTGAGCTGTAGGATGCTTGTCGGGCCAACGTCTAGTCGATTTTGACGTTGAAATAATGAAGAAAATCGAAAACTATAACGATACCTTCATTTTGGTGAAAACGAGGGTTAGAATTGCCGTATAACTTTCAGAATAACGGTCCGTAGCAAATTTGGAAAACATATTCGGAATCAGCGAAAAATTCTGTACAAGGTGCACTTGGTCCCGAATCGAAACTCCAAGTTGAGTAAAAACACTTTACAGTTAGCTATGTCATTTTAAAGGACGGAATTTTACAGGGCCGCTCTATCAGTTCTGTACTACAGATCATATACGGTACACTCCCGTAGCCCAATGGATTCTCATTTTATACGGCTCCAAATATGAAAGAAATTGAAATATCCCAATTTTCCGAGCTATTTCTCTTGACGACTAGGGGTACAGTAGCCAAGTATAGTATGCCATTCGAAAGAGGGGGACAAGCTCGACCAAATAATATCTTGTAGACCACCGTAACCCACTGGAATAACGTTTTATAAGCTCCCAAAGATTCAAGAAACTCGAAATTTTCTCTTTTGCGCTCCATTTTTCTCAACGACTTTTGGTACTGTAGCTGTGTATTATCTACCAGTTAAAAGCCCAGAAAGAGCTCTAGCAAATGGTATACTGTAGGCTACCGTAGCCCAACGGAATCTGATCGTAAGAGGCCCCAAACATAGCAAAAAAATTGGCAGTAACGGACCGGAATACTGTATATTACTACTTTTTGATATTTTACGCGCCTAATTTTATAAACTGACTGCCAACTTAGCTGTCATAATCCCTTTAACCCCTAAAACTATTTATTTTCAGATCGAAGAATTGCTGAAGAAGGGAGCATACGGCTCGATAATGGACGAATCATCGGAAGGATCGAAATTCTCTGAGGAAGATATCGAGACAATTCTCTCGCGAAGAGCCACTACAGTAACCCTTGAGGCCGGAGTGAAAGGGAGCACCTTCTCAAAGGCTTCTTTTGGATCATCAAATAACACCGAAGAGATCGATATTGATGACCCCAATTTCTGGAACAAGGTGGGTGACTAGCAGGGGTTTTTGGGATAAATCGACGAACTGGCGACCAGATTGACGATCTACATCATTGGCTACAAATTTTGGGCAAAAAGCAAAAAAGTTTGGCGGTCCCGGAAGCGAACCCTGGTGGCTCGCCTGCTGCTCAAATTGGCTAGAACTTTAACTCTAAGCCTTGGTAAATCCCGCAAGGTAACAAAAATGGTAACTGCCAACCAGTTTACCGAATCCCAACGTAAAAACCAAAAAGCAAGAAATATTGCCGTGCCTGGGACTCGAACCCGGGTCGTTCACCTGATATCCAAATCACTTATCCACTTGGCCACGGTCACAATATTTATTTTCCCGTTTTCAGTGGGCCGAGAAGGCGAACGTCGACCTGGAGAAGGTGAGGGAGCGACAGAGCGGAAAGCAGCTCATCATCGCCGAGCCGAGGAACCGGAAGAAGAGGTATCGGGCTTATTTTCGTAGTGTAATCGTTTTTCAGTAATTTTTCGATATCGTAATCGCTTGAAATATTAGTCCTTTTTCATAGCGTTTCCGAGACCCAAAATGAACGAGCGTAATCGATTGCCCGTTTCACGCCGTAACGAATTGCCTTCCAGATTCGAAGAAGACACCCTAAAAGAAGGCGAAGGATCAGGATCTGATGAATCAGAAATGGGAGCAAAAGGAAGAAGAGATCGAGCGCGAAAGAGAAGAAAAGGAGTGGAGGATGATGATGATGAATATGTCAGATATCGACCCGATGAATTGGCATTCAATAAGACCGACTACTTCAAGGTATCGTTTTTTTCTAGCTAGATTTGGATTGTCTGGTAGCCAGCTGACTTGTCCGGGCCGTTAAAAATGTCTATTTATTGAAATTTTGCAGGTTGAGAAGCTGATTGGGTCGTTTGGCTGGGGAAGATGGAAGCTGATCAAAGAACAAGGGGATGTTGATGTGAGTTCTCTCTTTGCGATTTTGCTCTCTCTCTCACCCCTCTCTCTATCTTGTCTCTCTCTCTCTCTCTCTCGTTCTTTCTTTCTTTTACCCTCTGCTTTTCAGGCGAACGAGACCGAACTTGAACACCTTGCCCGTACCCTAATCCTCCACAATCTTCGTGATTTCCGCGGTGATGAGCGGACAAAAGAATATGTCTATGCTGTCATCGAACCAACTTGATGCTCGAAACTACAAACAAGACACCAGGAATAAGGTTGGTGGTGCTCAGAAAGTTGCAAAATCGATCTTGGTGCTTGAGAACTTCCGGTTGGGCGGCACTCCCCGAGTACAATCCACCGAATTTCGCCCTCGACGCCTCATTCCAACGGCATATCCACAGGTAACGGACGTTTAAAGGGACAATGACGGCTAGGAAAATGGGCGGAGCTTCGCTCAGGGGGCAGTGACACGCAGAAAAATCGATAATTTCGTAAAAAAGCGGATTTCGCAGCTGCTGCTAGGGACGGTGACACCGAAAAGGGGCGTGGCCTCACTAAAGGGGCAGTGACACTTAGAAAACCCCTAACTTTGCAAAAATCCAAATTTTGCGATTTTAAAGGGACGAGTGGCAGCTCCAAAATCGATATTTCGCACAAAATCTAATTTTCTGGGTTTTAAAGGGCGGGTGACGGCAACTTTTAACGTAAATATTCAACATTCTCCTTTTTCAGATACTCGAACAAACTGGTCTGTAAAGTGGAAATCATGCATTTCTTCTTCGAGGGAATTCTGAAAGATCGACGAGGAGACATTGAAGAGGGAAAGAAGGCAGAAGATATCGAAGTGACATTTGTGCCTCCATTGGAAGGAATGGCTATCGATGGATGGGATATCAATTGTGACAAATCTCTCATCATTGGATGTTATAAATACGGTAGGTGGGGGATGGCAGAGAGCACTTGGGAAATCGATAGAATGGCTGGCTGGCAGCTAAACTATTTTCAAAAGGGCAGGCTAGCAGAGACCATTTGAGGGGAAAAATTATGGTCCAAAAGGCTCAAATCGGCTCGTTTGAAAATCGACTGCGATGTGTAAATCCGGACCACCAAGGGCCAAATGGCAGAGATCCTTTGGGGAATGGCTAGATCGGCAGACAGATAAACTATTTCCAAAATGGGCTGGCTAGCAGAGACAATTTGCGGAAAATTTCTGGAAACACCTTCCAGCAGGGAATCGATTGACGACTGGTAATCAAGACCTCAAGGGTCAACTAGCGGAGATTTTTGGGAAATCGATAGGCTGCCAGGCAGATGGACGATTGGGCAAACTGGGCAGGCTAGCAGAGAAATTTTAAGGAAAAATTTCGAATCGAATTATGAAATTTACCAATCAGAGTTTTGCAGGCATGGAAAATCCGGACGCGATGAAGGCGGATGAGACGCTGTGTTTCTTGAAAAAGGATTCGAAACAATGCCGACAGCCAATGAGATCTATGCTCGATTGAGAAGAATTCAACAGAGAACAGCACAGGCTATTAGCGATGAAATTGCCGCGAAACAACCCACGAAATGGGCACGCAGGAAGAAGTCGAATTTGTGAGGGCTGATTGCCGTTTCCCATCAAAGATTGGGATGTCGATATTACGGCGGTGGATTGGAGTGCTGTGAGGTAAGTAATTTTTATCTGTTTAAAGGGTTCTTCTCTG